GTTTCTAACGGAACTTTTACCAGGGCTCGCTCAACAGTTGTGCCTGCTGAATGTGGCTAATGGCCGCGTTCAGCAGACACAACTGTTGAGTGAGCGCTCAATGATTTCTTAACGTGATTGGCTGGATCTAAAAGTATTAACCAATCATACTGATCGCTCACTCAACAGTTGTGTCTGCTGAACGCGGCCAATGTAAACCCTAGGCCAATCACGTGTTCGATTACACGCTAGTAAGGTACTGGAAATGTCGTATTTTCTTCTATCAACTTGGCAACACTGACGTAGATCGCAAGACGGCACGTGGCGATGTTCGCGCGTGTTTTCTACTGCAAACCGAAGTCTTGGAACGCTCACGTTTATAACTACATAAATGCGAAGTATTTGTAGGAGCAACCGTGGTCTGCAGTTGTAACAAATCTCTTAACCATGTTTGAGCCTAAATTGACGAACACGTCGCCCAATTTCGGCGTACCGCCCGACAAGCAGAACGAGGTTAGATTGATAATATTTTGCCGGTACATTATTCCTACAGTGATTGTAACAAAGTATTTATTTACATTTAACATCTAAGTAAAAGGTACAAGCACATAAAGATAGAAGGGATGTAAAAAATGTACGTCTAACTTATAGAATAGACGATCAAGTCAATACAAAGTGACACGATTAAATTCTTCTTGCAATTGTAGGAAAAAATGCCTTGATAAAACTTAGACAGTTCTATTTGTTTCAGCTGTTGCAGTCTCTAGGCGCGCCTCACATCGATTCCTTTAATTATATGCTGGACGATGGCCTTTTTCAAAGTTTAAAGGACAGCACGCCAGTGTATTTAACTCTTCCCAATGACGACAAGATAGTACTCTGGCTGGACAACGTACATATCCATAAGCCCACTGTACCTTCTAGTACAATTGGTGTGAAAACGTTCAAAGTATATCCGATGGAGTGTCGGCAGAGAGGCACCACTTACAGGGGTAAGATAACGGTCAGACTCAGGTGGTCTATCAATGGCAAGGACCAGGAACCTCTCGAGAGGGACTTGGGAGAAATTCCGATCATGGTCAAGGTGAGGCCCAGATACGATTTCCCTCTCAACTGTTGAGCCGCTCTCACTGCTCCGCAGTTTCATTTCGAATGGATATTTTGACTCACGGTTAAATCGCAGTTCCCCTTGTGACATTTTTTAGTCCAATCGGTGCCACTTGAACAAAATGAGCCCTAAAGAATTGGTCGCTCACGGCGAGCATGAAGACGAATGGGGCGGATACTTCATAATCAAAGGCTTGGAGCGGCTCGTACGGATGTTGATCATGACGAGGCGAAACTATCCCATCGCTGTCAAGAGGCCGACTTGGAAGGGTCGCGGTGAACAATTCAGCGAGTTTGGTATTCTTTTGAGAAGTGTTCGGGAGGATAACTTTACCATTGTAGGTATCTGAATAGATTCTTTTGCACGCATTATTTCTCGCTCTCTTTCTTGCCATTCTCGCACGTTGGTATTCATAACTATGTGTTTGTTTGCAGAATAATGTGCTGCACTACGTGAACGATGGTTCCGTAAAGTTAGCATTTACGTACAGGAAAACTACGTACTATGTGCCACTAATACTGATGTTAAAATGTCTGGTAGACATGACCGATTTGTATATTTTCAAGGCACTAGTCGCTGGATGCGAAGACGATCTTTACTACAATAATAGTATCACGAATATGTTACGTGCCCTGCACGAGGAAGGTCTACACTGGCACGAGCAGTGTAAAGCGTACATAGGAGAGATATTTAGAGTGAAATTCTCTGAATTGCCTGCAGACGCGACTGATATAGACGTCTGTGACTTTATCCTCAAGTGAGTTTGGTGATTTTCTTCATTTGTGTTACATTGCGGTTTCCCGCGTAATCATAAATTTTATTAACTTTTATCGCATAGAAATTGCGTCGCTATTCATCTTGACGAGCCTATCGAGAAGTTCCATTTGCTTGTATTCATGACCAAGAAACTGTTCTCCCTCGCGAATAATAAGTGCGCCGTTGAGGGCGCGGATGCCGTGATGATGCAGGAGTGTTTACTAGGCGGATACCTGTATCAGCAGGTTCTCAAAGAAAAACTGTCCTCATGGCTCGCAGGAGTCAAACTTTATATTCTCAAACGTGCCAAGAGCGCCGGTAATAGATACAATTTGAATATGCGTAGGTATTTCATTTATACATATTGGTGTTATGAAAAAAAAACCAAGCTGGACATATAGATGGCTAATTTTTTTTAAATTTACTTATTTAGAGGAAATGTTGAACGTCACCAAATTTCAAAGCAGAATCGACTTACAAATGGAGTACTTTTTATCGACCGGAAATTTAAGATCGTCTACTGGTTTGGGACTCATGCAAAACACTGGCCTTACGATTGTCGTGGAAAATATCAACAGGATGCGTTACATGAGTCATTTTCGTTCGATACACAGAGGCGCGTTCTTCCAAAATATGAGGACTACCGAGGCTCGTCAATTGTTGCCTGATGCGTGGGGTACTTAAAAAAATTTTGCCGTAATTTCTACAACGATAGATACACGAAGATTTTAGAAAATGCATGTTGATCATGCACGATATGAGTGATAATTTTCCGTTGTACACTAAGTATTAGAGGAAAGTCCTCTATTATGAGGTAGGCTTCCGATATGAGATAGCAGGTTTTCAACATCCAAATTCAATAACAAATTTCGCAACTATTGCACAATCTAACAATGGATGTTTCACTAAACAGATTTCACTCCAAGGACAATAGATTTACGAGGAAACCAATAGACGGTGCCTATTAATTTAGAAAAAAACTCCGCTATCTCATATTAGGAGCTTATCTTATAATAGGGGACTTTTCTCTTAAAGATTTTTGTAATATATTAATTTGTAATTATGGTGATCTATTCGTAGGATTCATCTGTCCGATTCATACACCAGATGGTGCTCCATGTGGATTGCTCAATCACTTGACAATGAATTGCATTGTCACAAAATATCCAGATCCAAAATTGAAAGCTGCGATACCTGAGGTACTGGTAGATCTCGGAATGGTCCCGTTATCCATCGCGGATGATTGGAAAAATTCATATAACGTGATGTTAGATGGAAAATTAATCGGCTTGATTGAAGACAAAATTATTAACAGAATAGTCTACAAGCTGAGACTGCTTAAAATAAAGGGTGAAGAAGTGAGTTGTAAACGCGGCATCTTTTGGTTTGACTTGTAACACGGTGCATGATTTATCCAATATATTTCATACGTTTAGGTACCATCAACGTTGGAGATTGCACTGGTGCCAAAGAAAAATGTTCCGGCTCAGTATCCGGGTTTGTTCTTATTTACTAACGCGGCCAGAATGATGAGGCCGGTGATAAATTTAGCTACGCAGAAGATTGAACTTATAGGAACGTTTGAGCAAATTTATATGGAGATCTGTGTGACGCCTGAAGAAGCACATGAAGGGGTAGATATATACAATTTTTTTTGTTCGCGTAAATTATTTTTTCGAATCTCCCTATAATGTAACCATTTTATTTTATTTTTGTGCTAGTTGACAACGCATCAGGAAGTAAGCCCGACAACAATTTTCAGCAATACAGCTAAACTCATCCCGTTGCCAGATTGTAACCAAAGTCCAAGAAACATGTATCAGTGTCAGGTAAATCTTATATGAAAGAATTCCCACGTTTCAACGTTCACTGTCCGTATCTACAGGCCATTAAATGCCATTCGCAGGGCATATACAATAAATAATGATCCATGAAGTTCGGAATTAAAGCTGTCCCGACTTGCATTTGTATCTTGCGGACTACGAACGTATTGATAGCAATCACGGTGCTGAGTGAAATATATCAGTCATTTTTTTAATGATCTTGCAGATGGGTAAACAGACAATGGGTACGCCTTGCCACAATTGGCAACAGCAGTCGCAAACGAAAATGTACAGGCTGCAAACGCCCGCCGCACCACTCTTCAGACCGGTACATTATGACAACATTGACATGGACAGCTTTGCGATGGGTACCAATGCGATAATTGCTGTCATCTCATATACAGTGAGCTGCCACTTTGCTATTTAATATTCCTTTTTGCTTCTAGTATCAATGATTTTATCCTTGTGAATTTGTCTCACGATACTATATCGATAATTTGCTGTACAGGGATATGATATGGAAGACGCAATGGTCATCAACAAGTCGTCGTACGAACGTGGCTTCGGACATGGGTCGGTTTACAAGTCCGAGTTTGTTGATTTGAAGGATAAAAAGAGTTATTTCGCTCGCGACCCGGAGAAACCTGACCTTGTGAAAACGATAGATGTTGACGGTTTGCCTATGCCAGGTACTATTATCAAACAAGGAGACGCGTACTACTCGTAAGTAATTCTTGCAACTTTAATACTGTCACATTGTGGTCACCTTTTCTCAAAATCTTATCGATACGTTCACTTATTTTGATAGCTATTATGATGCTGATAGTGCTCAGTACGTCGTTGGAAGGTATAAGAGTACGGAAAATGCTTATGTCGATAATGTAAAGCTGTGCGGTACGTTGAGCGGTTCCGATTCCCGAAGGGCGTGCATTACATTCCGTATTCCCGTTAGTACAGTTATAATTTATTTTTTAAATTTAATTTACTAAAAATTAATGTAATTTATAAGTCACTTTAAAACTTGCATTTCGTTTTCCAAATTTCGCAGAGGAATCCCATAGTTGGAGATAAATTTGCGTCAAGAGCGGGACAAAAAGGAATCCTCTCGCGGCTGTATCCTACTGAAGATTTACCGTTCACGGAGACCGGGATGGTCCCCGATATTATATTCAATCCGCACGGTTTTCCAAGCCGTATGACAATAGGTAAACCGGATCATTTATTTCGTTCGACTGTGCATAATACGACAATGAACTAACGATTTTCAATTAAATCTGTCTTACGCCCGTTTCTACCAATGCGGATTAACTTTAATCGTGGTTTAACTTACCTTATATCTTTTTCTAGTTTTAAAAATTAGAAAAAGGTCAACAGTAATTTAAACCGGGATTAAAATTCATCCGCACTGGCAGAAACGGACGTTAGTGCAAGTATATATAATATCGAAGATTAGTTTTCTCACAAGAGAAAGTGCAGATATAATTTTAATGTCAACTGCCGTACAGTAAAGCAATTGTTTTCCATCATTATAGCTATGATGATCGAAGTGATGGCCGGAAAATCAGCGGCTGTGCACGGATTGGTTCACGACGCCACGCCCTTTAGGTTTGACGAAGAGAACACAGCCATAAACTACTTCGGCAAATTATTAGAACTCGGTGGTTACAATTATTATGGAAAGGAGAAAATGTATTCGGGTATTTATGGATGTGAGATGACCGCCAGCATCTTCTTTGGCGTCGTGCATTATCAGAGATTGCGACACATGGTCTCTGATAAGTGGCAGGTAGCTAACTTGCGTGAATTTCTACATTAACATCTAATGAGACCAAGATTCTTCACTCTCACTTTTTATTCGATCCTTTCTTGCATTCGTTACTTAATTGCATTTGACGAGTTTTCATTTGTCTCCATCTTCTATATATTTTTACATATAGTTTAATAATTGATAAACCAGCGTTCTTTAATTATAATGAGAACAGGCTAAAAATAGGTGTATTTCATTTCTAGGTGAGAAGTACCGGACCGATTGACATGCTAACGAGACAGCCTATTAAAGGTCGTCGACGCGGCGGTGGCATTCGTTTCGGAGAGATGGAACGAGACGCTTTGATTTCTCATGGTTGCTCGTATCTTCTTCAAGACCGTCTCTTTCATTGCTCTGACAAAATAACGGTAAGTTACAAGATACGACTTCCCCTAATATGTCAATACTAACTGAGCATTGCCTGTTTTATACATGTTTGGATTATACAGTGTGTCTGAATGTAAAAGTGACCAACCAAAAGATAGAAGTAGATTTGTATAAACTAAAAAAAAGTTATATTTCGTAAAATTCACGATAGTTATCGAATAAACACGTGTCTGAATGACTCGGCAGCCATCCAAAATGATGTAGATACTTGTTTGTATCTCCGTGCGATTCGGTAGGCGAGAGGCGAGCGAGGGCCGCTTTGTTTATTATTCGATAACTATTGCGAATTTTACAAAATGGCACGTAACTTTTCCTTTCAGTTTATCCCAATCTATCTCAGTCTTTCGATCGGTCACTTTTACGCCAGACACCCTTCAATCAGATACATCTGATTAAAATAAATATTTATTTACTTGTAGACTCTGGCGTGTATAAAGTGCGGCTCAATACTCGGACCGGAATTGATAGTGAAAAGTAGATACGATGACAAAAGGTGCCGTTTGTGCGGCGAGGAAGATACCGTAGACGAGATCGAGATACCGTATATTTTCAGGTTTCTTTTAATACAACTGGCGTCCTGTAATATAAACATTAAAATAAAATTCAGACGAGTTTAACTAATCGCGAGAATGTGCCTGTACGTAATACGTATGTATATATGTGATATGTATATGTATATCGTGTATGCTGTCTTTTTCAACAGAATAAATTTTATTTTCCTTTTCTAACATTCCAGAGAACAAATTCTATTCATAAAGCTATTACACAATGAAGTTTATTACACCGGCGTTTGTATACTATCTCATATTCACGATGTAAAATACATCTGTATATACACAATTCGGACCAACAGTTTATGTTACAAAATTAACTCGCACAGAGGGAAAATGGGCTCGATTATATATATCTTCTTTACTTTTTTTACATGGTACGTAATGGAAGGGAATGTAACTATCTTGAATTATGTGTATTTTGTAACAAGCGAATGATATAATTATATCACGCGAACTATATAATACTCTCGAAACCTTCTTGAAAGAATATTTGTACAAGTTGCGTAAATGTTCAAGCTTTCGCTGGCACTTGCGTTCCAGGCTTGTTGGTGGGTGCTCCGGATGCACCTGTCTGTTCTTTCTCCAATTGCTTCCCAAGATACTCCCTAGAAAGTAAGCAGATTGAGAAGTGTTGGGAAAGTTTTACATATAGACATTTGAAAAAATATAGAAAATATACGAAAATATTTAAAACGCTCTCATTTATTAATTGTTTTGACTGCATGTAAGCGTTAAGCTACGAAAGATGACAATTTTTTTAATTCTGTAACTTACCAATTATGTACCATAAGTTTCTGCACAGCAAGGAGAGCCTCGTATCTGACATTAGGATCCTCGTGCCCGAGAAGCTGCATCACACGCTGTTTTCCGCCAAGCTGTTCAATTATACTGAAATACGTGGAACGATGTTTTAACAGATTGCAGTTTTAGCAGCGAATAGAATTTAATATGGCATTTTTTATGTATATAAATCGACGTACTGCTTGCCACGTGGATAATGGCGCACATATTCGCCGATGTCGAAACTGGCCACGCTGAGAACAAGCGGGTCTTTACTAGTCTCTAACAGATGGACCAGAATCCGCAAGAGCTCGTAATTCTTCTCGTTCAGACGACTGGCGTTCTCGCGCCAGAATTTGCCCGACTTGTGAACGGGAGACCATTCCAGACGACCAGACTTCACTTCCGTCGAATATTCGTCGAATGAACTCAGATCCTGCACGGATGCTTGCAGTTTGTCATTGAGGAACTCGATATCATCGGTGATGTCCTCGTCGTCGAATTTTCGTTGGCATAATATCGAAAGCTGCTTCAGTACCTTGCATTGTACCATAGCGATGCAATGTTCCTTGGAAACTTGTCCGTCTTCTACTTTCTCGATCAAATTCTACAAGTATCAAATCGTATGAAATTATCTTGTATAATTTTCTTACTCTGTAACGCACATTCCGACTTACCCTGAACACTGCGAGTATAATACGCGTTACTTTTTCTTTAACTGAGTCGCTGAGTATATCGGCAAGAATGGGTATGACATTGAATCTGTGATATACAATTAGACAATATTGCAATTAGATCGAATATTACCCAGTAGAGTGTCTCTAGGGAAAATATCAGCAAGGGATACGTTACTCACTTATTCATCTTTTCCGCCAAGAGAGGATTAAAAGTAAGTACCCACAGACAGAAAATAAGCTGATATTGCACTTGGAAATTCACTCTGCCAGACAGGACACTGAGGAGGGTCGAAATTCCATCGACGGACACGAATGCAAAGCGATATTCGTCTATACGAAGCATCATTTGTAGACATCGCGCCACTGATTGAATGTACTCATTATTCTAAGTAGAGAATAAAAATAATTAAATTGTGCTCTATATTTTAAAGAAGGTGAATCTTCCCCTCAGTTTGAAGGACAAGCGTTTGCTTTAAAGATGTTACTACATGCAAGAGTAAAATAATTCAATATTCAAAAAAAGAAAGAGGAAGAGAGAGATTTAGCATATATTGAGAGAAAAGTGGATTTTATAAGTTGGCTCAAGGTTTTCAGGAATTTGCATTTATAAACGTAACATTCACATAAAATAGGCTTTTGTAAAGCAAAAATCATGCATATCCGTGATTAAACTTTATCAATCAATTGTCATAAACGTGAGAGACTCGTAATACTTTTGCGAGGTACCGTTGACTGTCCCGACGAATTATTAGTGGCTCGCTTGTTGGCAGAATATAATTAGAAAGAAATATATACTTTACAATTCATTTAGAGTAATACTACTGTGATTAGTCGTTACAAAACCAACCGGGTTGAGCAATTCGTGCAGGTCATTGGCCTCCTTGGCCTGCTCCACAGCAGTATCTTGTTCTAGTCCCGCATGCAAGTCTGTGTGATCCTGAAGGGCATCGAACTAAAACCCCATCTCATGTCTTTTTATCTATTACATGTTCTATTGTAATTTAAGGTTCTCATATTTGAAGCCTGAGCGCGGGAAGCAAAGTATCTAGTTGTCAGTCGCAGGACGTTTTATTTGGTTAGTTATGCTTATTTTTAATTTTACATTTAATTTCTATCGATTTTCTACACAGACTCTTGCCACAAAATGTTGCAAATTCTATTATTTCCAAATGCCACACAGACGTTTGCCACAATCCATCGGATTAGTGTGTTATAAGTATTACCGGTATTATACTTAATAAAACAGAAATATAGCAAACGATGTATATTAATTAAATTATATGAAGTGTAAAGTGTTTATATCAGTATTAATGTAGTAAAAGAAGTGTTAAAACTCTTAAGAAAGGTGCCATATTCTTTTCATTAAATATAAGATTATTTTTAAAGGAATGCATGATTGTTTTCAAAGAAAAATGCCAAGTATAAGCTAAATTAATTATTAAATACACATTACATGCAGCATGCAGTTAAAGAAATTTTCGTGTTAAGAGGCAAAATAGTAGCTGTACGAGGTAGCTGTTAAACACGGATTATTTGATTGTGAGATAAGTACACATTGTTTCCAAGGTACAAATTAATTAAAAAATTAAACTAATTAAAAAAATGTTAGACCGCAAACATAGAAAAAACTTATGAAACAAATAGATTCCAATAGTCGAATGATCTGCATTAGTACGGTTTTAAGACATATCGATACTTAAATGCTGCGAGTATAAAATATATATCTGATTAAAGTGGTTATTAAACTACTAGTACTCTGAAAATAAGTGATCCATCTTATTATGTCATCTTATCACAGCTGTTTCGACTTCCTGCAACATGCGCGAATCGACAATCCGCGAAACTCACGCTAAGTTTCAGCTGATCCTTGAGCCACGTTAAATAAAACTGCAGATCAGTTTTTTCCATGAGATCGTGACTCCAGCAAGCCAACTTGGCTATAATACGTGACGTCATGTTCATGATAAAGCCGTCCTGTCTGTTTAACAGATTGAGGAATGGCCCCCAGACGGACTCTCGTTTCCGCGTCGAGTGCTCGCGGAAAATTTCCACGCGACTGCGATCCTCCTGTAAATATCAGGTCGACCTCCATTAATAAACTTTTTTTTTATTCAAAATTGACAAAGCAATGTACATAAATAACGGCTTCTATTTAATCTATTAAACGAGAGAGAGAAAAAAATATAGTCCTACTTGTAGCATATCGTCGATCATTGTGAGAATATATTGGATGGTCTGATCCTTGGAAACGTGGCCGAGCAAATTGAGAAAGGTTTTCGCCGCCTGGTGCGGATTCTCCTTCAACTTATTCTCCCTTATCTTAGCGTCGTTGGAGTCGAAGGCAGCTATGAAGTCGTAGTCCTCCTTCGATATCATTTGCGATCTGGAAACGCCCAACGCTAGGATATCCCTCACAGCCCCGCGTCCCCGCGCCAAGTCGCAGCCAAGGTACACCCCAGGCCTTTCAAACCTCGACTTGTCGGACGCGACGCCTGCACGGCTGGCTCGTGCAAGGCCTTAAACCGTCGCCCTCAACAAATTACAGTCAACTGTTCTCCCCGCTTTTTTAACGGCGACTGAACGACTTTTATTCCGGGATAAATTAACAGCCACGGCCTCGCAGAAACCAGCCTTGACGCTCTCTACGACGTCTGTCCGCGATTACTTACTGCAAATACGACTGCCAATTAACTCGCTGACTCCTAATGTCGGCAGCCTGCTGCTGGAGCACGCTCGTGGCCGCCAGCATATCTGCAAGAAATCACGCGGGTCGGCGTCTGAGTAGCTAGGCGCAAGGTACGAGAGACGGTGAAACGAGCTTTATCACGTGCCGGCGTACATGCAATTTGTTAAACGAGCAATAAACACAGATCGCAAGGCTGGGAGGGGCACTGTCAGACGGACGAGTCTCCGCCTCGCCGAGCGAGCGCAATTACCGATCTTCTCGTCCGGAAGCGCCGGTATCATCTGCTTGATATTTGCACGGTCCACCATGATTGCCGTCGAGATCTCACGTTGATTTATTGAAAACAATCTCGCACGGAAATGCGTTCGACTGGTTCGACCCGTCTCCTGACTCCTTCAGCTGTTCGATCACAAGACCGCGCGAATACCAACCTGACTCGACGTCACGACGTCACGAGATACATCGCGCGCGCTGCTCCCGAGACGCGATGGGGATTTTCGTCCGCGCATGCGCTCTCGACTGCGTCCCCTCTAACCTAACAAACTTAACTCGCCGTTCGCGTCCCAGACTCGCGCGCCGTTGCGTGTCACGGAGATTCCGGACTTGTTGAAATAGTTTAAATTGATTTTCCCCCTTGTCGCAAGTACAGAGATTGTTCGATCTAACCTACGCAATAATTGTGATGTCAATGGAGACCGTACCGAAAGATCTACGCGGATTAAGAGCGTGTCTGGTGTGCTCTTTGGTTAAGGTTCGTGTTCCCTGCTTCTGTTACAATATTGCAACGATATACTCGTAATAATGGTAATAATCAATCTTACGGGTGTCCAGGCTGTAATTGCCGTGGACCTGCCGTCCCTGGTGGAAGTTTTTCTCAGGATTTTACATAATTTCGATGTAGCTTTCGGAATTTTCGTTCCGGTAAATTGTGCAGTTCGGGGTCCTCGCCTCCGATATTCATGTACATAGACTCGTTCGACGCGTTTCTCAACGAGAAACAGCTCTTTCCTCGGGCTAAATCGCCGCTCTGTCCCGCGAGGCGAGATATCAAGCGTTCAAGTTGACTGATCGGGTTAGGAAACCTGTTATTTTTGTGAAGCTAAATTCTGAACTATTCTGAAATTTCTCAGTCTATAATTTCAAGCATTTGTATCTCAGAATATTCGCATGAATGGAGAATTCTAAGAAAAGAAGTGGACCCTTTCGGTATTTCTGAAAAGTGCGCCAGTTCGCATATGAATTCTGAGAAAAACGTTCATCGGAGTTGTTCGTTATCTTTGGAACGATTGAAATCACCACTTTACTCCGCAGACTTTCGACCAATTCGAGCTCGATGGATGTGACAACTGTGACGATTTTCTACGTATGAAGAATAATAAGGATAATGTTTTTGACTGTACGAGTTCGAACTTCGACGGGTAATACGCAGCAACAGTTACACGATTTTCTAAGAGTGATATTTTTTTCCGAGGGGAAAGTCGCTGAGGGCATTGTGGTGTACAGATTTGCGGCATTACTGGACATTACTGGGCATTAGGCCTTACTGGGATATTACAAAGATGAATAAGATGAAGTAATGCCCACTGGGCATTAGTGGGCATTGGTGTACAACATTTTGGTCTGTGGTTTTCCCCTCGTTTTTTTCTATAGAACATATTGCAGTTGGGTGAATAATTAGCATTAGTTTATCTTTTTTTTATACGAGCAAAAATTATTGAGGGCATGTTTTATACTTTAAAAACAACTAGCGATGTTAAATCTAACTTTGTACTTTTATCTAATTTTAATAGCAATTCTGATAATTACTAACATTAACAATACTTCGTTTTAACAAGTAATGATATTACAAAAAGATTTTAAAAACAGATCTTGTGCTATATATATTTCTTATCTGCGTACGTTTTACTTTCTAGAATGATCGCTGTAATGAGTCCAGAAGACAGCTGGGTATGCAAGTGGCAAAGAATAAGTAAGCATATTAATATTACTCGAATAATTGAAGTCCCTCTTCTATTTTATCTAAAGAATCTATTTTTTTACTTTTCAAAGTCGTATAGTAAATCAGTAAAAAAGAATAAGTTACTAATATAAATATGTGCAAAATAACTTGTTTGTAAATTAAATATATAATAATCAGGGTTGGGAAGTAACTCGTTACTTGTAACAAAGTTACAGTTACTTTTATTTTGTAACTCTAACTTAACTTCGTTACTTTCTCTCCATTTAGTAACTAATTTAATAGTTACTTTATATATTTTTTAAACCACCACAGGCCGCATTGGGCCCTGCGTTTGCGCATAAACGCCTTTGTCGACACTTTACAATTCACATGCAGATTTGATATTTTTATTTTCATTGCAAAGAAAGTAACTGCACAGTAACGATTCGTTACTTTTCGAGTAACTGTACCTGTAATGCGGTACTTTTCAGAATTGGTAACTTGTAATTGTAACTACATTTTTAGCGAAAAAACTGTGACTGTAACTAGGTACTTTTATAAAGTAACTTTCCCAAGCCTGATAATAATACGTACTTAGATATTTTAATAAATATATTTATTTCTGAGATTTTCATTTTTGAACGTATAATACATTTATACATATATATTATTCTTACAAATGCCAGTATATATTTGCGTCTAGGAACATACTTATGTGCGTATATACCGTAAAGATCTGTTTAAGCAAAATGCTACGCAAAGACTTTCAGAATTACAAATTTCTCTCAGTCTAATTACGTCGCCAATGGCAAATATTAATTTCGAGATTCTACTTTCCTCAGATCGTTTCTGTAAGGGTGTCTACGCCATATCCGTATCGGGACGATTGCCAGCTGGTGTTATCAGAGAGATGAAGAGCAGAGGAATAGTGTATAGGCCGCGCGACACGAGTCAACGTTAATTATTAGAGATGCCTATGTAAGATGTAAATATTTCTCCTAATACCGCGTTATATTTAAATCAATCGAGAGACGATCATTGTTAATTTTAAGTTAAGTTAAATGTACAATTATTTTTGCGTGGTGAATTTAACTGATTTAATATCGCACGACTGTTTTCATTCAGAAAAGTATAAGCTTAATAAAGAACTTACACGAACATTTGAATCTGCAATTTGTTTTGTACGCATACATATGCGTGATTTCATCGGATTAATTTGAAATTGTAGAGCTGCACTTTCAACGGTCACTTTTAGTACGAATTTCTATGCGTCGCATTAGTAAAATTTGAATAGTATATTTTTAAGTTTGAATTTGAAAACCTTGCAACATGCAGATTAGCATTTAGATATGACTTCCCGGACATATGGTTGATTGACAGAGTAAAGAGTACCGCATCACCGGCAATTGATTGTTTACGCAATTGAGCCATAAATTTGCGCATGTTACGTGATAATTATTATCGTTGTACACAACTCGGCCACTCGTGATGACTGTTAAGCACAGGGCACAAGAAACGCACTCTCCCTGATGTAAGGGCCAAGCTGGTAGTTCTGTGACAATCTGAAATACATTAATACAAATCTATTCTGGAGCAATGAATATATATAAATATGCATGTCAGAGACAAAAAGATAATACAGAGTACGTTAAAGTATAAGAGCGAAATTCGAAAGCATAAAGTATTGATAAAATTGATAAAAATTGTAACGGGAACTTGTAGTCAACCCAACTGGCTAGTTGCTTTATTTAATTAATACAACAGTTGGGTTGACTACAAGTTCCCGTTACAATTTTTATTCATTACCGGTGACTATAAGAAATCTTCCTACGTCGAAAATTGATAAATATGTGTACAGATATTAATAACTCGTGCAGGCAATGCTTACTGGTATATTTGCGTAAAACGGCTCCATTTCAGCCCAGATCCGATCAATGTCCATCAGAAGGTCGTCGAATCCAATAATGTTTATATCCAGCTCTTTGTACGAGAAATTAACGCGCCTACAAACAGCTGCAACTTCAGCTAATTCTAATGAGAAAATATGTATGTTTATAGTTTTGTTATATGTCTTGAATAAACGATACAGTACAGTTTCATGTAAAATGTTAAGTCCCCTACTACGAGGTAGGCTCCTGATACGAGATGGTGGAGTTTCTACGAAATTAATGGGCATCATCCGTCGGTTCCGCCACGAATTTGCAGCCTTTGGAGTGGAATCCATTTGGTGAAAAATTGATTGGTAGATCGCGCAGTGTAGTCGTTGCGAAAAAAAGATTTGTCATTGAATTTGGACGTTGAAAACCTGCTATCTCGCATTAGAATCCTATCTCATGATAGAGGACTGTCTTATTATTGCTATAAGAACACCTACGGCAAAGGAAGTTATATCCCTGGGCTGAATTTAAAACTTCCTGCAGAACTAATTCTGACGTTATATTGGTAAATATGTTGGCCGCAACTTGCAGCAGCAAAACGCAACTTTCCATATATTGCTTCCATTCCCAGTACACGGTCTGCAACAGAGAAGCGCACGATGACACCCGCGTTCGGGCCGGATATATTCGCCTCGTCTCGACCTTCTGATAATTCGATCGCACGTGTACCTGCTGTGGAGCTTCTATCACTTGATCGTCCTCTACGTTAGAAGGCAAAAATGATTTAAGATCTAAGCTAGGCACAGATCCAGAGCGTGGCAGTGCTTCGGATGGACCGCTAATCAACTCTATACTATTTATCGAGATAGCATCTTCTTTCTGAGCATTCTTTCCTAAGAATAATATGTACTGCTAGATTGAAGCGAAGTGGGACCATAAGCGAAAATAAAAAGTGTAGCGCACAGTGTCGGGGCACTAACCTGTTTCTACCAATTGCGTCTCAATTCCGTCGTCGAGTTTTAGATTGTTAAACGACTCGGACACCTCAGATACAAAGTTCAGATCTGCTAAGTTCTGGCTGTCGGCATTAGCGTGCGCTTTAAACTCAAAATCCGCAAAGAGGTTGCCAAAGCTTTCGATATCCAAGGCGTCCGATATCGTGGGCTCGGCGGGCGGTTGCTCCGCCGACATAAACTCCCCGAATTCGTCAGCCGACTGATTGTTCGGTGTCAAATCTAAGCTCGCGTCGCCCGCGACGGGCGCTCCTTCAACTAGCTCGCGCAACGCGCTGTACTTGTCCTCGACTTGTTGCAAGCTCATTAAATCTTGTTGAACAGAATCAGACATTTCTACCGTAACGGCCTACAGATAAACGTGGTACACATGAGCGAAAATTATATCGACATATTGAGAAAACTTACACGACACGAAATAAGCATACTCGCTACGCAACAGACGAGCCCGCGGCTAGTTATTTACCTTTGGCAGCTCCACTTTAGGTAATACCTCTTTGTCGCCGCCGACGGGCTCGGCCGGGCCGTTAAAACTGTCGCCGCAATCCTTAGGCGCGTCGTTGCTTCTGATCACAGTGTCCTTGAGTATCACGGTCTTGGACTGGCTCTTTAGCCCGCACTTGGGAAACAGGTCGGACGTGGATTCCATCACGGGCTGCTCCTTACTGTGATACGGCAAACTCGCGGGGGCGGACGTGCGGAGTTGCACGGCTCTCGCGCCGACGGCGGACCTCTTGGCCCTGTCGGCGGTCTTCTTCACCCCGAGATTGTGATTGGCGAGTCTGCTGCCGATCGCGGAGCCCAGCTTACTGTCCCAGATCGGCACGGCGGCGACACTGGGGACCGGGGCGCTTTGAAACTCGGTGAATTCGTCACAGGACTCGTCGTAGGACGATGCAGACGGAGCGTGTTCAGCTTGGACACGGCAATTCTGCAGCCTCGCGTCCTTGAACAGATTATTGACATTACTCCCGGCCGCGCCGGGCGCCTGAACTCTGCCGTCGAAGCAAGACGCTTTTCCGGGCGCGCCGCCAGAGAAGGATACACTTGCGTCAGGCACTGCGTTTACTTGGCTCCTAACTTTCGTTCTTCCCTTCGCGTCGGGCATGTACTTTCCTTCCGCACCCACGTTGTTGCCGGGCTCCTCGTGGTGCGGGAGCTTCGGGACGTTCGCAGGCTGCAGATTCATCAGGCAGTCTATGTTCAGGTAGGGCGTTGGCGGGAAGGGGAGTAGGTGCAGTATATCGAGACTGTTGAAGGTGTAGGATGTCTGTGCGGCCGCCACGAGGGCCAGCACGATGTACAGCTCCTGCTCGGTCAGTTGGCCGGCGTACTTCTGGTTGGCCAGGCTCCATATGTGGCCGAGCACCTCCGTGGGCAGCTGGCTGGTGAGCAGCAACGGGAACACCTTATTGGTGTCGACCAGCAGCTCGGCCTGCACGCCGTTCGACCTGACCCGATCCTCCCGCACCGCCTCCCACACCATCTTGTAGACCGGCGGCAGGGTGGTCGAGTTGGTCCACAGCCAGCTCGGCAGCTGGTTCAGCCTCTTGTTCGCGTGGCTCTTGTTCATGGCTCGCCCTTGGTTTGCCCGCGCGACGACGACCGGACGGCGGAGGACCTCACCCAGCTACGAACGTCGTCGCTTGCGAATCACGTGAACTCGTCGAGCAGCATGAGCCCATCGTTGAGACTGCTAGCTCGATACATACATCGACATCGGCGGCAACCAAGAGGAGGTCGAGCGTCTACCCTGACGTCGCTCGCCCGCGGCCCCTGCTCCACATGGCGATGCTTACCGTGCGACGAACGCGCGGCGGAACATATATGTATACATAACACAACTCGCCCTGACGTCAACTGACGGGAGTGACATCGATCCCGTCACCGCTCCTCGCCCCCAATCCGCTGGCACTAAACTTCGTTGGACCCGTTCGTTTTGCATACGCTTTCTGCACTCGGGGTTCCTCGAGCTTTCTCTTTCCCCCTGGCGTCTGAAAACGTGCATTTTTTATTCAAGAAATAACGACGAAATGAAAAGAAAGGGAGGAAACGCGGAAGGTTTAGAAGCCCAGCTATAAAGAACGAACCTAACAAGTTTGTTCATTTTACCCAGCCGTGCAGTTTTCATT